GATATTGAATTATGTTAGATTCCGAAAAAGCGTTCGGTAAGAAAAAATGAGACTTTGTGCACATATTGTCCTACATTCTAAGAAGTAATTCAATGTGAAACAACAGTCGTGCGAGATGAAGTCATGCCAGAAATGTTCCAATGTACTGAAAAAAATTGTCGCATCATCGAAGCATATCCCTCATTGTCTATTACATAAAACCGATTTGCGCGTTTAAGCACGCTGCATATCACAGAATATAAATTAATGATCGCGCAGGGCATTAATATGAGGTGTAATAACAATATGGAAGAAAATTTAATTCACTCAATATTATTTTATTTACCAACAGCATCACGTATAATATTTTTCAGAGCACACACCAACAACTCGCAATCGATAAGTGAATCTCGATCGCACTTTGCGTTGCCGCGTATCGCTTTCGCCGCATCCATGTAGTCGAAAATTTTTAACGTGTGACGTTTATCAGGGTACATGTTTTTCTGCTATATAATGTTCGAAAATTTTCTACATTTTGCATTAACCTCAATTTTTGTGTGAGATGCGTATTCTCATACAGTTAAGAATACATAGGATCAATGCAGCGCTCGAAATTAAATAAATTGTCGAATGTTTCCGATTTTAAGCACATTGTGGTTGCCAGCAAATTAAGTTTTACAATTTTCACATTATGAAAACTGCTGATTTCGACATGCAATTCTCGAATCCAAAACGATGATGAAGAAGATGACTATGGGAAGCGCTGAGTACCGACACATTTATATACCATTATTAATTCCTTCCAGATCGTAACTGGCATTATTAGTACCGAGAACAATGTCTACACTGGACACAAGTCCTACGTTGCCCAATTTCAACATGTTTGTCAACAGGAGGTTGAATCAATTCTGGTGTTCTTTTGTCAATCTTTTGTTTTTATTTTAAAGAAATGGTTAAATTTATATGAATAAAAATATTTTTCGGCGTTAGCTGTGACTTTTTCCCATCTTTCTGGCAACATAGCGATTTCACGATAATAGAACGATCTGTCTTTCGAAACAATCCAACCCGACAACCAGTTTTGCACATCCTCGTAATTATTGAAGTGTGTATCTGTCAAAGCGTGTTGCATCAATTGGAATAGATGGTATTCAGATGGTGCTAGGTCTGGAGAATAAGCTGGGTGAGGATGTATTTCCCATTCGAGCTTTATGAATGTTTGTTTAACGATTGAAGTAACATGTGGATGAACATTATCGTGCAAGATAATCACTTTGCATTTATTGGTGGCTGTCGCTGGCCTTTTTTGCATCATTCAATTTGTTCAATTGTTGCTAGTATCGCTTCTCCGTAATTGTATCATTCAGTTTTAGAAGTCCACAGTTTTATTTACATCACACCTTCCATATCTTATCAAATACAGAGCATTGTTTTGTGAATGTTCCGTTTTGGTGTCGGTGTTGATGGTTGACCTGGACCAACTCATGATCTTTTCCGCTTTGGATTATCAAAATAAGTCCACTTTTCATCTTCAGTTACAATTCGTCACAAAAATCTCTTTTCTGTCTGACAAACAAAGACATGACGATATTCAAACGATTTGCAATGGTACTTTCATTCGATTCATGTAGAACCTATTTGCTTTCCTTTTGAATTTTTCCCATGGCGTGTAGGCGTTTAGAAATTGTTGATTTATTGACGTTGAGTTGCTCAGCCAATTGTTTTTCATTTGAGCGGTGTTTTCATTTAATAATGCTTACAATTCAGAATCTTTGAATTTTTATGGTTGACCAGTACTTTTGAATCGTTAAAACCAAAATTTACAGTTGGAATACAATGGAGCTTGATCATCATAAGTTATAACAAGTATTTCATGAGCTTTAGTTGCCGATTATTTCAAGTTAAACAAAAAAAAGTAATGAATGTTGAAAATGCAAATAATTCTGAGTCGTAAGCGGTATGTATAAAGTGTTATTTAATCCATTGATAAATATAAAAGGGATCCCCTAAGAAAATTTAAATTATCTTATTTCAATTTCTTCATTTTCTTCCTCTTTGCAATACTAATTTACATTTAAAAACATTTAACAAACACTTCACACAAACTGGTCCGTCCTGAGGTAAATTGGTTGAATCCTTTCATCCCAAAAAGAACAAATTTCATAATATAAAAATAACACGGACGTGACGTGACAATAGCCGCTCATTAATTTACCGCTATTAGGAACACCATTTATCATTATTATGATCAGAAACAAGTGGCGACATGTTATCATAAATTATGCATGTTAAATGCTAGAATAATATTGAGAAACAATTCGCACATTTGTGCATTCTGCTTCGGAAACATTCGGCGCGATATACTTCATACGTACGTGCTAGTCACTTATTTGATCTGTCTGCAAAAGTTACTTGTCAGTGCAAGCAAGTGTGTCTCGGCATAGCAACTTTGTTGGGTGTTCCCTGAGAGGATGAAGTGTACGTAAAAACTCCACGTCCAAAGCCAATTGAGTCAATCGTTTACGAGATTGTTTACTTCACGTCTTACTATATTACCGAAAATTATTTAGCGTGTCAAATATTTGCGTTCCGTTTGTTGTGTTACAACTAATCAAGAGAAAAGAATTTATCAATCTGTCAGAGACAATGTTTGAACGCTCGTGTATTCTTTAGCTCCGTGTAGGACGTTTAGAAGTGGAATAACAGCAATTATCATTAAGTTACGTTACACATTGTGTCCGCTTTTGCCCAACATCATTGTATATCAAAGTTTGATGGTCGGCAAAGACCGATAAATCGAAAACTTTGTCCGCGCAGCCAACTTCCCTTACTTCCCCACATACACGCACACACGAGGGATTCAATAGTTCATTGAATTACACACAATTGCAAATGATTTACTTTCCGAATATCGAGCATATGCCTTGATGTATGTTTTATCGTGTTCTTCCTTCTTCTCTTTCCATTTTTAATTGTGATTATACGTGACTGTCGCGCAGAATCATTCAAAGACGTATTTGCTTCGAGAGATAAACTAGATTTCGCCATATCCAGAGCAAACAGGTGCTACATGTTGACGCTTCGTCGGAACATCGATCCCGAGAAATATTTTTTTTTCGTTTTTGTCAGGGCATGAGAAAAATCTGGAAATTACAATCATACAATAGAAAAAAAGAGTGAGAGCGAGAGCGAGAGAGAGAGAGAGAGAGAGAGAGAGAGGGAGAGATAGACCTCTTTCAATCCGACGGTGATAAATTTTTATTGCGGCAGGATTTAACGAGAGATAGCGCGGTCACGCGCGCGCGAGTGTTATAGTAAATAATATAGTAACTAATCCGTAATTTAACGACATGACGAGAACATATCTTAGAACATTTCATCTTAAATTCCGTTAGGACGATGTAAACTGTAACGTCTTAAAGTACGGTCTCTCGGGCGGCGAAGATTTCGGAAGAAGCGATACCTTTGATTCGGAACTTCGATTTGAAATGTTAAAGACGTCGACCGAAGTTCCGAGACGACGAAAGGGCGGGCTTGCAAAATTTATTTACTGGAGCAAATGAAATGCGTTCCTCTTTGTCATCTGTTTCACCAGAAGAAAGACAATTCACATTTACGGTCGAAGATAATGATTCAAGTGCGACATTATCGACAGAAAAAGCGATGAAAGATTCTCAATCGCCTTCACGGGTGCAACCTCTGTATAAAAAAGAAAAGGAATGACCCTTAACAGTTTTTTACAACTATGTTAAAATTATCAGAAGGCAAATATATGTGCGGAGTGCACAGTTTATTCGATAGAACATCGAAATGGTGCCTATCCGCGAAAAAGATCTTGTTTGTTCAGCTGTTTTTATACGCCAATTGGTTGCTCAGCTTTTGCATTTACAACGGTGCCATACGCGGTAGTATTTCATACGTCGAGTATATATTTACGAAAAAATATACGAAGGTATTACGTGCGCGAAGGAAAACCAACATGTTATAATTATTCATTTTGCGCCTGCGAGAGAAACGGTATATATTCTATTTTTATGACGCATCTGCAAGATAAGGCGACACCGTCGATTTTTGCGTAACTACTTACGAATAACAATGTATTTTTAATTGAGCTAATACAAGAGTAAAGCAATTTTACGAGATAATAAGATTATTGCAATTTACAGAGTCTTATTGTTGCACGAATTGACGAGGGGAAGAACGTTTGCGTTCACGGACACGCTTATCGGCCGAATTAAGGAATTAAGGTTAATTACTTTTCCTTGAGGAACTATGATCGTGCATATTCTATCCTTTTCGCTCTTATACCTTATTCTTTCAAGATTGTATTTTACAATAAGCAATAAATACGTGTTGAATGCGTCGTGCAATCGATGATTGGCGCAGCGACATAACCACGTCTCACGAGAGTAAAGAACAATTAATAACACGATAGAAATTTGTCGTACGATTAGTAAAGAGCCGTAGAAATGAGGTAAAAGTTGAACGTTGAATTAGATATGTCTACCACGTATCTTTAATAATTCCACCGATTAAGCTCCTATACGATCAATAGAGATCAGCGCGTCGGTCAATGTGCCGAGTTTCAAACAATCAAAATCGCTTCCAAGTAAAGTGACATGAATTTCTTCATAGAGCGTCATTTCGCATTTGAAGGCGCGATTTGCATGAGGACAGTTTTCCGTTTTCGACGGTTTATCGACCAAAGAATTATGGCTGGTAGTCCCGTTAAGATGACACCTAAATTCAATATGATCGGGAAGTAAGTGTTTCCGAGGCTCACAGCGCTGATACGAGTAACTAATCTGAGTAAGAATTGCGTCTTTTGCTCGGATCTCGTTCTCGGTCTCGCCGACAACGACGAGACCTTGCAAAAAGCGTCTCAGCGCGCTCACATTTCAGATATTTGCGATTCGTGTGTGTGTCTTGTCAAACTCGCGGGTTCGCATTTGTGCTGTTCCAAAGATAACAGATCCACTCGCGAAATGTAACTGTGAGATAAGGTAGCTCGCGAGGCATTATCAGTTTCGGCTTTGCTTTATCTTCGTGTCAGGATAAAAGCAAACGTTTCTTCTGCCGCGCGCGCGGTTGTTTGCCGGGACAATATAGCTGGCTTCTCTCTTGAAGCGTCCGTTCCGGAAAAGGTCAGGAATCGTTCCGCTAGCAGTCATTCAACGGAGATACCATGCGAGAAGGTATTTCGAGTGCTTTTGGCACCTACGGGAAGAAATACGTGCGATATGTGTTTCCATAAATTACGTAAAAGTGACAATACAGCCGGCGTATCGACCGAATTGTATCTTCTTCGTAACTCGAGGCAAGTGACGCGATTTCGAACACATTCAACGAGGAAATTTTGCAAACTTTCTGACGTGGCTTGAATAAATTGGTAAAATGACATGAAAGTGGTAATTAAACGTTCCTCGATGTTTTGAAAACAGATTTGAGAGATTCAATCGGAAAATAATATCTGTGCTTTGCATCTAAAGTTATACTTCGGTATGCCTATAGATTTATTTTTTCCGCGATCTTGAACGTAAGTATAACCGTGCTGAGCGAAGTACGCCAAGTAGATCTTCTAGTTCAGTATCGATCCCAATAAACTTGACGCAAAGTTTGGATAACCAGCTGCATGCTATAACGGTTAAGTTAGATTGTTGTTTCATCAAAAATAGTTAAGATTAAATTTTAAGAGGATCTATACGCACATGTACGACGGTATGATTACGGGAACATTATTTCGTTCTAGTCAAAGTGGTAACATTTGGTCTATTGCTGTCTTTTTTGACGCTGAGTGAAGCCCAGTCAGACTGCAACTATTTTCAAAACATGGAACCTGGAGAATCGTATTATATATATAATCCAATGTATCCCAATTCGTACCCGCGAGGAAGCTATTGCACGTGGAAAGCAAACAGCCCTTATACCATAAAACTTAATTGTGAAGTCAATATGTCCACGGTGAGTTGTACACTGCAAAGATATTTCGTTCGTGAACACGCATTTTAGGAGTGAAGATAAAGGGTGTCCCAAAATTCACGCAAGAAGTAATTTTGATAGAAAACACAGGTTTATAATTAAAAACTGTAAATTTTTTATTGATTCATAAAGTATACAGTATAGGGTTATGTATGGAATAGCATATCGGGTAAACGGCCATAGCGAAGAGAGTTCGTTGAATGGATTGTGGAACAACAAGTGGATGCTGATTTTTCGAACAAAATCATCTTCAGCGATGAAGCTCATTTTCATCTTGATGGCTTGGTTAATCGACAAAATTTTCGCATTTGGGGTTCAGAAAATCCACGAGTGATTGTTGAGAAACAAATGCATCCACAACGTGTCACTGTTTGGTGCGAATTTTGGGCTGGAGGCATCATCGGACCATTCTTCTTCGAAAATGCGGCTGGTCAGACAATAACAGTTAATGGTGCTGGCTATCGCGACATGATAAGCCAGTTTTTGTGTCTAAATTGCAAGATATGGATGTGGACGACATGTGGTTTCAACAAGACAGTGCCACATGCCATACAGCTCGAGGAACAATTCAATTACTGCATGAGTCATTTCCTGGTCGTGTAATTTCCCGTTTTGGTGATCAGATTTGGCCGCCCAGGTCATGCGATTTAACGCCATTGGACTTTTTTCTTTGGAATTTTTTGAAGTCTAAGGTTTATGCCAACAAGCCGACGACCACCCACGCCTTAAAGGAAGAATTTGAGCGCTGTATCAACGAAATTCAGCCACATTTATGCAAAACGGTCATGGAAAATTTCAACAAAAGAGTGCATATGTGCCAGCAAAGCCGTGGAGGCCATTTACCCGACATGCTATTCCATACATAACCCTATACTGTATACTTTATGAATCAATAAATAATTTACAATTTTTAATTATAAAGCTGTGTTTTCTATCAAAATAACTTCTTGCGTGAATTTTGGAACACCTTTTAGCTGGATACATTTGAATATCCTAATCTAACGACCAAATTTAAGTCCAGTGTTTATACGAACAACCAAGTCATTAAAAGCAGAATAGGAAAGAAATTTAATGGTTTATTGCGATATTTTGTAGAGTCCGGGTTGCAATGAAGACCAGCTTTCGATCCAATTTGCTGGGCAAGATATAAATAGCTATTGCGGTACGGGTAGTTTAGAACTCGTGGGTTCAAATGTAATTGTCTACTTTAAATCGTCATATTATACGCAAGGGGGTAAATTTTGGTGTCATTTACGATCGGAAAAACCGTTGGACGATTGCAGATGTGGTTGGAAGAATCCGGTACGTATGCTTTACTTTGTGAGACTTTTTGTACGGTGAAAAATCATTCAGAGATACATTAAGGCGACTAAAAGATTAAGAGAGAGCAAACAACGTGCGAAATTTATGTGCGGAAAGGCTCTGTCGTTACTTTTCGTTATTTATTTAGGCTCCAGCTATAGTCGGCGGCAAGGAAACCGGTGTAAACGAATTTCCAATGATGGCTGGTCTCGTTGATAGCGTCGAAAGAATTTTATATTGCGGCGCGACCATAATAAGTACGCAACACGTAATAACAGCCGCTCATTGTGTAAAGGACAGAGATCCTGGAAAGCTTGGTGTAATTGTCGGCGAACATGATACAAGTACAGGTAAAATTGAGTTCAAATTTATGTTGAGTTCATAATCCTTCAAAATGAGAGATCCAAGCAAGTTTTAACGATCACGATAGTCTCGAATCAGGTCACGCAGTTCTGTCTTAGATCTGATACAAGTACGCGCGAGGAAATTGTTGTATGCAACGCGGGCTATATTTTTCGACAATTTATCTATCTGAAAAAATAAATGTATTTTTGACAAACGCAGCGCGTTTGTATGTTCTAAATATTCGCAGGAGAATTTGAATTTCTTAGTGAAGGACGCGGATCATTATCATCAATAATAAATATACATTACAGCTTAACGTAATATTTTTAATTTTAGAAATTATTCTTAGAAATCTATGTTAATAGATACGTAATAAAGTATTTTCGCAAACATAAATTGAGGATAAAAACAGTAATATATAGTAAATAACACAATATTATGTATAATATCCCTTAATGCACGGGATTTGGTGTTATTCTGTAAATAGGCACCGAAACCAATGCGACCAAGTTGTACCGCATGAAGGAGTGCATGATACATCCTGGGTATTTTCCTGGCAACACTATTAATCAGAACGACATAGCTGTTTGTCAAATTATTGGCTCGATAACATATAATGACAAAGTCAGTCCAGTCTGTCTGCCATTTCAGCATAGTCGCGATTCATTTGACGAATCTATAGTGACGGCGTTGGGTTAGTATCATCTGATCATCTTTATCGCACATCACTATTCTCTTTAACCGTTCTCAACAATCAGGATGGGGCCTAAAGGAATTTGGCGGTGAAAAGGCGGTTGAGTTGCATGGAGTGGAATTGGACGTAATCAACCTTTCGGATTGCAAGCGAGCATATTATGGCATAACAGACGGTCACATGTGCACTTACACCCCGGGGAAAGATGCTTGTCAGGTAAGGGAACGGGACTACTTTCACGCGGAGAAATCGTCCGTAGGTCATCGTATTGAATTATGTGATACAGTCATTGACGATACTGCCGTGTCCCCAAGGTATAATCGATCGCGTCTAAAGACGCGTCTAAAGTCGTGTTTGTACGAGTGACAATAGAGAATCAGTGAGAGGGACAGGAAAACACTCCAGTTACTTGTTCACTTCACTGTATCTTTTACGATTATTCAAGTTCATTGTGTACAAGTTGACAACGTGACCGTGTTGGCAGTGTGCGAGTACAATGTCGTTTCGACGCCACGAGGCATCGCGCAATCGTGCCATGTTTTAATGTTCGACCTTACCTTCCGCAGATGGATAGTGGCGGGCCAGCGATTTGGAAGAATCCTATCACGTATAATAATGTGCTAGTCGGCATTATATCTTCCGGAGTTGGTTGCGCTACCGACAAACCAGCTGTCTCTACGCGTGTTGGGCGCTACATTGATTGGATACAGAGCGTAACACCTGGTAAGAATCGACAAGGAGAAAAAAGCCAATAAGAGCCAACCAAGATCTTGCTGTTACGAACTTACGAAATCTTCTGAATCGCAAGAGTAAAACAAAATCAAGAACAGACCACCTAATCGACTTCTACTTCTAAATGGTGCCCATGTTGGCAACGCTTGTAAGGATTCGTTTGGCGTTCCATTCTTGATTTTACTTTCGCGATTGAGTGGCTTTCGCGAGAGTGAGATCTTGTGTTGGCTTTTTTGTCTTTTTCTTCTCGTTGATTGTGAAATCAAAGAATCTCGATCGTTTAGCTGATCGTTTACTTGGTAAGACGTTTTGTAAGTGCAGTTCGATCGGTTAGAGAAACGCGAGAATTTTACCGCCTCGACGAAATTGCCGACGTATCAGTGTATTTCTCTCACTTCTTTTCTTCCTTTCTTCTGACAGGCGTGCGATATTGCCAACTGGAGTGATCGTTCTATGCTTATGCAGAAGCGAAACGATGAGGGATAATAGCACGATATTGCAGGAGATGGAGCTGCTACTACACGCTGATGCCATGTTCGTGCATACATTTTTTATCTTATGAAACACACATATACACTAAAGGCCGGTCCAGAATAAGTTGCAACGTTCAGTTGCGAATTGCGGAATGGCAAGTTGTCAATTGCAAGTTACAAATCATTGCAACGCCTAATCCACATGTAGATGTCGAAAGTTTGCAAGTTGCAAAGAAACAGCCAATCAGAAAATAGAACCCGCTTTTTCGTTGTCCTATAATTTTGATTGAGACTTAGCTAGAAAAATTGTCAAATAATATTGGCTATTTTGTGAAGTTTAATGAAAGTTATTTTAATAAGATAAGATAGCGTTAAAACACAACAAGAAATAAATGAAATTACTTGATGTCTGACAGCTTCGAGGCTCTATATTGAAGCTATGAATTAAAATTAACCTCAAATTTTGCATAAAGACGGTACATAAAAAGAAATAGCTGTTTTATTGAGTAACATAACAATAATTTTCCAAGCATTATCTATTTTCTTCTATTATTCTTAAAATTCGGTGCAGTTTTATTAACTAGAGATTGATTTGTCTTTATGTGTACAATTAGTAATCGTATTTCGAACTCATCCCATTCTTTTGCAACTGCTTCAAACACATCCAATTCGTACTGCCCTTCAGTATCTATTTCTTTTTACAAATAATGGAATGCATACAAGATATCTACAAAACCATGAAAAATTACATCACACCTTTTGTATCACACAATCTTTATCTGTGGTGTCGTGTTTCATTTTTCGTACTCTACCTGAACTCGATACTTGATTGACTGAGACGTTGCGATTACCGATTGCTCTTGCCAAGAAGAAGTTGAAAGTTGAGTAACTCTTTTTTAACAACCGCAATTCCCTGTTGCGATCGGAAATAGTACTTTGCAACTAGTAGTAGTTGCTATCCTTCGCAACTCGCAACCTATTCTGAACCGGTCCTAAGAGATACGTGCGAACAATATCAACACGATGTATCAAGTTTTAATATCACATTGACGACGGTGAATTATATTCGTTTTCATTTGCAAGTAACAGTTAATCTTTCATTTTGGAAGCTGGTGTTGTTTCTTGCTTCTGCTACCTTGCTGCTTCGAATTTGTCGAGATTTTCTCCTTTTCGCATGGTGGAAATAGAAGATCGCGAGGAGTGCCCGCTTCGTGAGAACTGGAGCACACCGGGCATTCGCGAACGAGAGAGTGCGCTTTCTCCTGGGAATAAAACTCTCGTCGCGGCCTCCATCTAAACCACAGCGCGTTCGTGCATCATGTTTGACGCGATTATCGCATATTTGTGAAAACCGCGTGCAGCAGTGGCCGTTGTCTCGCTAAAGTCGCAAGCTTGAGCGAACCGAATCGGAACGACTCGCGAAGGCGAGGAAAAGTCTCTCTTTCCCTGAGCGTGCTTCCGGCCTCTCCTTAATTAGAACGCCGAGATAAAAGAGCGAATGCGCAGCTGCTGGAATGTATGTACCCTATAAGAAAGAGAAAGGTTCGCCCGCACAACTGGAATCGAGTCGAATGTACTGAATTTCACGATTACGCATAGCGAATCTATTGTCCTAACTACCATAAAATTTAGATTCTGCGAAGATAAGCTCGCGAGTCATAATTGAGTAATAATAGCGAGATTACAATATATACAGCTGATTACAGAGGCTTGTGGCTAATTTAGACGCGGCTTCTCGCCGCCGCGCCGCCACCAAAACCATACCCGAAACGAGTTACGGAAGATAACAAGGATGGTAATATGAAGTTTGATGGGTTAATTAACTGGGGACGTTCGACGGTCTCGGATACTTTGCCGTTCAACTAATTTAGTCGGGCACGGGATTATATCGGGTTGTTCGGAAAGTAATTTCGGTTTTTTCAAATAGATGGTGTTAATTGCCTTTTTAAGCGGTTAATTTCATTCTTAACCAGAAAATCATTTTACATTTTGACAAGGCACATTTCAAGCTTCATTTGAAGAAAAGTCGTTTTGGAATCTATCACGTTACTTTTGTTTGGCGTTGCATCAAAAATGGAAAAATAACGTGAGAAAATTTTCGTCACATTTTGCTTCCTTATTACCGTCAAGGCAAAAATGCAGCGCGAGCAAGAAAAAATTGTGTCTATGGAGAGGATGTGTTGACTGAATTGGCTTGTGTCAGAATTGATTTTCGAAATTTCGTTCTGGGAATTCCGACTTCAAAGATACATCATGTTCTGGAAGGTCAGTTGAGGCTGATGAAGACTAAATAAAGACATTGGTGAAAATCGCAAATCATCCCTTAACAACACGAAAAACTGCTGAGAGATTGAATTTCTCGAATTCAACCGTGCATGAGCATTTGAAGCAACTCGGTTTCGTTTCAAAGTTCGATATTTGGGTTCCACACGTTTACTCTCAAAGAAAGAGATTTGGTTTGTCGCATTACTATCTGCAATGTGCTGTTGAAATGTGAGGAAAACGATTCATTTCTGAAGTGACTCATAACTAGAGTTAAAAAATGGATTGCGTACAACAATATTCGCTATAAACGCAAAAAATCATGGTGAAGACAAGATGAATCAACTCAAAGCATATCGAAAGCTGATATCTATCAAAAGGAGATGATGCTCTCTATTTGGTAGGATTGAAAAGGAATGGTTTTTTTGAGTTGCTACCAAACAATCAAACGATTGATTCGAATGTGTATTGTCATCAATTAGACAAATTGAATGATTCCATCAAGCAGAAGAGACCAGAGTTGGCAAACAGAAAAGATGTTGTGTCTCATCATGACAATGCCAGACAAGTTTAATGACTCTGAAAGCGAGAAGCTATTAGCGCTTGGATGGAATTTGTTACCGCACCCACCATATTTATCTGATGTGGCATCATCCGTTATCACTTATTTCGGTCACTATAAAATTCTTTGAATGGTAAAAATTTCAATTCAAATAAAGGTATCAAAAACCATTTAATTCAATTTCTTGCCTATAAGAATCAGAAGTTCTATGAGCGTGGAATCATGTTATTACTTCAAAGTATATTATTACCTCAAAAATGGGAAAAGATATTAGAACAAAATGGTCAATACTTAACAGAATAAAACTTTTCCTTCTATTAAAAATATTGTCTTTCATTTTCATGCAAAAAACCGAAATTACTTTCTGAACAATCCGAATAACCCACGAAAAATAATTGCGCACACGAAACGCACGCGAGATCCATCCTTGGTTATGATCAAATAATTGGAGCCGTTCTCTTCGCTGCCCGAAAGTGGTGGGAAAAAACTCGCTTTCACGCAAAGTTGGCAAATGCGGACAAGTCGCGATTATTCGTGCGGTTACGTACAACTCTTATTCGTGCTCTGTTCTGGGAAGTCTTGAAGCATATCTCATTATTGCAACGATTTTATTACGATCTTTAATATGCATCATAGTTGGATTTTTTTCTTCGCACTGTGCATATAACACTTCAGTCGCTGACGTTTATGCTCTGGAGGAGGACGATACATCAGCATTTCGGGAGCGACATAAGCATGACGAATGACAATGACGTTACAAATACTCTCTTCTCCGCCTCACCCTCTTACGACGTAACCCTCCGCTTTTTTTGCGTCCGGGATAATTCATCCGGATGGGCATACTTTGTTTCACGGCCTCTTTGGAAAGTTCTCTTCGTCTCTTTCTCCCTCGAACGACCGTAGGGGTGTGGTATCATAATAGCGCAAAACAAGGAGAACTCCCAGGGATTTCAGACGGGCTAAATCTTCATTATATCGAGGAATAAAAGAAACGCGATAACAATAAGATATTATCGTGGCCATGGCAGAGATAAAAGAACTATACGAGGCCTCTCTGACGAACTTGCAGGAAACGCATGGAAACGCGCCGGAGGATACATCTGTATCATGTAACAGGCTGGATACGGTTCATGTAATCTTGATTTCGAGCGACACGCTCGTTTCCCGACGCGTCGATTTGGGCCGGGCGATTTCGGCGACAGAATATCTCGGAGAGTGCAAGGAGAAGCTTCAGCCAACGAGACGCGAAGGTAAACGTTGGAAGCGAAACACCGCGACTTCGAATATGCGCATGTTGAGAAGAAGGACAGAACGCGAGAAATAGAGAGAGCAAGAGAGAAAGCTGCATTTTTTATCTATATGAGCTTTTGTGAGCTCAGCCGGCTGCTGCTTCTGCCGCTGCACTATTTACGTGGCGCAGGTGTCGCGATATTCGAGGCTACTCGTCGCGAGTAAGTGTTTCGTCAACTTGACCCACCTGCGTACTCAGGCCTGTAATTGATATGAGACTCGCTGAGACGCGCGTGCGCGAGTTAGCCCGAGTTTGGCAGAAAATAATTAGTAGATCAGCTTTGAAGCACCAAACAGCACCTATACGCATACGAACCCAAGCAAAATACTGTTAGGGCCATCCTTATGAAGGCCCCGATAAGGCCCCGATATGGCTGAAAGTAGGATGCTCCAAAAACGGATGCCTCATTATTACCACATCAGGCCCCGAGATGAATCTTTTAGGGATATTTTAGATTTTATGAAATAAGGTTTTGAGAAAGAAAACTGATGAGGATCTTTGGATTTTTTAGGAATGCCTTAGATTTAATAAATAAGGATAATAATAATTTGATTTGGTTTCCTTTGATAGGAAAAGCTGAGGAGGACCTTGGAAGGATTTTTTAGGGATGCCTTAGATTTAATAAATAAGGCTTTGAGGGAAAACTCTTAGAAGGATTTTTTAGGAATACCTTAGATTTTACGAAATAACAGCTTTAACGTGGAAAACTGATGTGGGTCTAAGAATGATCTTTTTAGGATTCTTTAGATATACAAAATCACGTTTTGTGATAGAAAATTAATAAAATCTGAAGTGTATAATAAAATTGTCATAGTTTAGTATTGTTTTAGTAGGTACGTCCTATCTGGTTCTTTAAAAAATTTTTTAATTATACCGCAATTAAAAACAAATTCTATTAGTTTTATTAATTGTCATATTCATTAGTCTCTTCCAAGGATATTCCTAGAATTGCCTTTGTTTTAAAATGCAGCAAACTTTAATAAAAATAGTAACAGGATTTTTATGTGTAAAGAATGCTATATTTTATTGTAAAATATGCTACATTTTTAAAATAAAAGATTCTTGTTGTTCACTAATAAGGTTATAAAGAAACCAAGAAATTACAGTCTAAATTTCTTGGAATGAAAAGAACGAATATTTTTATTCAAGCAATAATAAAAATATTTCCTTATAAGGCTCTGTTGATATTGCCTTATAAGGACCCATTAAACCATTTGTTACATACATTTTGTAGGGCCCTTGTCTTTCTATCCTTACTAGTACTAGGGCCCGATTAATGTTAGAGAAAAATAATCAGGCCTGTACTAGAGCCTTATTATTGGGTGTACAAATTAGTTCGGTCCGTTTTCAAAAGATGGCTCCGGCTGTTATGAATGGTTCATAGTGACTGACGATTTTGGCAGTTTCAGAGAGGTTAGACATCTGCCAATAATATTCAGTTTATACTGCTCTGAGTTTCATACAAAAATCTTGCATTTTACAGTGTTGAAAATGTCGAATTTTGTGTTAACCAAGCAGCATTTGCGGGAGGTTTTAATTTTCTGCTTTAATTGGAAGAAAAGTGCAGCTGAAGCCCATCGAATGCTTGTTGAAGTTTATGGTGACGCTGCTCCAACTGATAAATCATGTAGGGAATGGTTTCGACATTTCAAGGATAGAGATTTCAGCGTCGAAGACAAGCCTCACTCTGGACAGCCAAAAAAGTTCGAGGACAAAGAATTAGAGGCATTACTCGAAGGAGATCAGAGTCAAGCGCAAGAGGAGCTTGCAAAATCATTGGGAGTGACTCAACAAGCCGTTTCCGTACGATTGAGAGACATGAGAATTATTAAAAAACAAGGAAATTGGGTGCCTTATGAACTGAAACCGAGAGACTTTGAGATGCGTCCTTTATGACAACGCTTGTCCTCATGTCGCAAAAGTCGTAAAATAATATTTGGAAACGCTCAAATGGGATGTTTTACCGCACCCGCCGTATTCTCCGG